AGGTTGAGGCTGCAGTGGCCGTGAGTGTGCCACTGCCCTCCAGCCTGTGCAACAGAGTGAGACTCCAACTCAAAATTTTAAAACAAGAAAGGAAGAAAGAAATAAATTACTGGCTCCTACCAGGAAAAAGTCAGACCCTAAGTATCCTTAAATGAAAGACAACTTTGTGACATCTTGATAGTCAAGCAGCCAGCCGTGCCAATACCCTTGGAACTTTGGAACAGGACAAGACATGGCTTGTGGTACTAGGAATGAGACTAGGCTTTGAAAGGCCCTCAAGAAAGATGTCCTCCTCCCTGCCTACTCTGATGACACCGTGTGTATGGCATTGTCCCACTGTGTTGGGATTATGGCTGTCTTCAGGAGGGTTTCCTGGTGGGAAATAGGCTATGAAATGAAGTTTGCATGCAGCTTTATTAAGGAGTGCTTTCCAGAAAAGTGCCTGCTCTTTTGCTGATAGGTTGCTAACTGGTCATTCTTGGCAATGCCCCTCCAAAGCTGTAGGTGTTCATGAGTTTTCAGATCTAACCTGGAGGAATGACAACTTGCTTTATCACATCAGGAACTTTTCCGGAAAGAATACACAGGCATATCTTTGTGACTATGTAGTTCTAAGGTGACCTACAGCAGGACAATACCTTGACCACAGTCAAAAACGTGTTACTTACCAAATGGAGAAATACATCTTTTTAGCAAACTAATTAATTTTTTGGTTTTTCTTTTTTTGCAAGGAGGAAGAATGAACATAGATGACTGGTTAGGGCAAAGAGTGCATGGAGTAAAAAGTAACTAATGTGGCTGAAATCTGCTAAGCATGGAATCACAGAAGATCTGGCAAGGAATTCTACCTCCTCCAGAGTAAATCTCAAGGGCTGGAAAGCAGTGAGGTAAGGGCCCTGAGCTGAAGCCAATTAGTACTCGGTAAACAAATCAGATCATTTTGCTTTCTGCCCAGTTGCAGGCCCACCTTCTGAGCAGCTCAGATGAGAGTTCTTAAGAAAAAAAAAACGTTCAAATTCCCATGGCAATTCAATTTACAAAGTGGTTTCTATTTGATTTGTGGAAGAACAGTGTGTGTTTTGTTTTGTGTCAGAGCTTCTGAATGACAATTCTAGAAAAATGTGCTGAGTCATGAATCCCTAAGGATAAAAAATGTTGACAAGAGCATGCTTGGGGAAGACAAGGGCTGTGACAGTTGTATGGTTAGGGATAAAAGAAAGCTGTTACTTCTCTAAATGAAGTCCTTTAATGCAAACATTTACTTCTCACCTGTGCCTTGGAATACTTGATGCTTCCCTCAGGTACAGGGAAGACACACACTTAAGAATAATGATGACAGCCGGGCTGGGTGGCTCAGCCTGTAATCCCTCGCCTTTGGGAGGCTGAGGTGAGTGGATTGCCTGAGCCCGTGGGTTCGAGA